TTCAATAAAAGCGTCAGAAAATCGACAAAATCGAGGATTTAATATTAGTTGGTACGATAAATGTGATTGGTTAACCAGCTTCATTAAACGAGAAATACTTTTTTGTTGGCCCTGTGTTTTATTTTCCGTACAAAACGAGTACCAAACGTGGTCTAAAATAGGATACTCCAATTAAAAAAAAATACCTCGTTCTACAGAAAGGCATTTTAAGTTTAAGGAGCATATATTTTCGTCTTGTAAATTAAAATTGTTTAGCAAACAAAATATACGTTAGGGAAAATCGGTCTAATTTAAAAAGACTCATCGATATTACGATTTATTTGGGTTCCCAAGAATTAGCTTTTCGCGGACACGATGAAATCGAAGATTCGATTAATCGCGAATTATTTCGAAGGATTTGCTTTGAGACTACAATTGAATGACATGAATAAGAAAACAAGGTGTATAAATAAGTTCGAATATGACGCAATGCTGAGTAAGCAGGCCGGCTAACGACTTGGTCTGGGAACATGCATCTGTAATATTATACCGGTGTACTATCAGTTCCTGATATAACTCCTCCCTTCTCAAATTTCGACTTCGGACTGGAACAAGACTGAAGGCGAATTTTCAAGTTCTTTTCCTTCAAATTTCACTTTCAATTCGGAGTTTGGTTTCTTCCGTGCATTTTGAATTTTCCTGAAGGTGTAGCAGGCCAAAACAAATAAAATAAAGCAGATAATTGTCCATAGAATCCAGTCGGTTGATTGGTAGTAATCGATGTCTTCTATTGATAGTTGATTTGTCGCATCGATATGTCTCTGAAGTTGATGGATATCTTCCAGTGGTATATTTTCTATCCTTAAAGGTTTTCTTTCGAGTGTCTCAATCCTTAACACTTCATTGTTGATTTTTGGCAAGACAAATGGTTTTCCGAAATTCGAATTTTGGCGGTTTTCGAATTTGTATCGTTTGAATTCGAAACTGCAATTGGTTGGAATTCGTAGAAGGGTGCTGCCTTTGACTGTGAAGAATTGGTCCTCTGGGCATTTTGATTTTATTTTCANTCAAAATGTAGGTATTTTCCCAAAGCCTGTCTTTTTCCTCACTCATCAATAACTGATAAAATGAAATAAATACCATTGCATGTACCAAAACAAGAGGCGAAAAAGCCCTGCACGGTTGAATCTTAGGCATCGTCAGTAACATTAGTTATAAATAAAAGTGGTAAAAAACATAGAAAGTTTCATTTCTCTTTTCTTCATTTTGATTTCCTACCACGTAGTAACGGCTACATCCATCAATTTATTGAAAGAAGCAAGTACAGCTAGACAAGCCACATACTACTTCACACTAAAAATTAAGTACCATTAAGCATAGCAGAATTTATGGTTCAACCAAGATTGCCTGAAAAGAAAAATTACCCCGAAATCCATTAACATCACTACCAGGACAAAAACACCAGCAGCGGAGAAGGTGATAATGAAGGCACGAGTGATCTGGCTATAAGAAGAGTGCAGGACACTGTTCTCAAAAAGGAGTATCCTGCAACATTATTTGAAGGTATTACACTGAACTTACTTATAAACTCCACCAGATAGAATTTGACATTTATTTATGACCAAGTTAGGTTTACAATTAGTGATTTCATATACCGGAAGTACCAAACTCAACTCAAGAAACTTTGGGCACTAACACAGAAGCAACAATATATCATACACAGCAAATCAGTCGAAGCAGATATCCAGTTCAGCGTAAGAATTATTAACTTGACCAAAGTAGAATTTAACAAAGAGGAAATTTCAACAACGTCCAAGGGGCCGAAATATACACAACAATAATTAATAAAAATAGTGTATACGTTGATAACAGGTACAGTTATTGCATTGAAACAGACAGATAATAGAGATATAGGGGATACAAGATAAATTAAGCAATTCAGAACCATCCATTCTCTTTATCAAACAGTAGAGAAACAGGCATAATGAAAACTATGCAACAAAGAATAAGAAATGATGATTTCGTTTTCACGAAAGCCGATAAATCGAATGCCACGGAACCAGAGAAACGGAGAATCACCAACATAAACCCCTCATGCCTTTAACTATAAGGCCTGATAAAAACACATAAAGAGGATAACCCCATAAGAGCGGTAGTTTCGTATATAAATAGTCCGGTGAGAGAACTAGGAATACGTCTTAACAAGTTGTTTAAAAATATTACCAATTTTGTTCCACCTCACAGAATTAAAAATTCACTGACTTCAGTAGAAAATATAAGGAACCAAACCACGCCACATAATTCAATTTCAGTTTCATTCGATGTAAAGAGTATGTTCTCCAACATACCGTACAACGAGTGTAAGCCTCTCATTTTAGACATATTAGATCAAGCCAAAGTAGACCATATCACAACAAATTTAATAAACAGGATTCAGGTTTACCAATGGGCTCACCCTTTAGTCCACTTTTAGCAGACATATTCATGAACAACTTGGAGACCACTATAGTAAATTCTGAACTGGGTAAAAAACATATTCATTTTTGGTACTATATGACAGCTGAACCAATTTACGAACAATCTCAATGGCAAAACATTCAGTTCACACTCGAAACAGAGATAGAGACACAGATAAATTTCTTAGACCTGACCATTACACACAATCAGAATAAATTCGAGTTCAATGTTTTCAGAAAACCTAGCTAAATCCCAAGCGATTCTTTCCATCCATACAGTCATAAATTAGCAGTTTACAACTCAATGTTGCACAAAGCATTCATTACCTTTGTCTGCTAGGGAAATTGATATAATTACACAGATAGGTAATAAATATTACTGGAGTTTTTTCCCAACACAAAATCGTTATTTTTAACACCTCGACACGTATTTTGATCACAAAGTATCATCTTCAAAGAGGAAGATTAAAACTTACTCTTTGAAGATGATCACTTGGTGATCGAAACACGTGTCGAGGTTTAAAAATAACGATTTGGTGTTGGGAAAAAACCAGTAATATTCATTACTACACCAAAGGTTCCAAACAGTGCATCACAAGCAGATAGGTCATAATAATGGTTTCAACGCAGATACTATCCAGAAGTTAGTCAGGAAATAAAGCCGGAAATTCACTTACAGTTTAATGTACCCTTAGGTCAAACAACCAGAAATCAAGAAATGGGTAACGCTAACATATTTTGGAAAAAGAACAGAGATAATTGCGGGTTCCTTCAGAAAAAACAATGTGGAAGTGGCATTCAGACCAGTCTCATTTCCTTTTCAATGCCAAAGATAAGGTGGAGAAGTTGGAGAAATCTGGAGTTTATAGGCTTAAGTGTCCGGAGTGTAATAGTGTTTATGTGGGACAATATGGCCAAAATTTCCGAAAACGTTATGCTGAACATGAAAGGTCCTCCAAACTAGGAAAAAATGATTCGACGTTTTCAAACCATTCCTTGGCATGCAACTACAAGTTTCCGAGTCTAAACGATACGTAAATTTTGCATTATGCAAGGAATGGTTACAAAATCAGTTATTTAGAATCCTTGGAAATTCACAAGCATAAACATTGCGGGTGCAACCTGTTAAATGATCAAATCGATTTAGTTCACTCGCCGGTTTTTAAATTGGCACATCCGCATTGTGAACTGTAAATTCAGGTACCCAATCAAGCCAAGTACCTCTATTAGTACCTACAGTGATGGTATATAATGGCTAATGTAATGAATCATTGTTAGTTCATTGTATAAGTTTGAAAATGTCCTTATAGGACGGAACTGCAGTAATCTTGGTTACAAATAAAACTGGTAAAAAACTTAGAAAGTTCCATTTCTCTTTTCTTCATGATGGAATACTGATTAGATAATATATTTTGGGATTGTCAAAATTCTTCCTCGCCTTTAATATAAGTTTCAAATGAAATACATAAAGTAAATGGGGGTTAACTCAACCTGCGGAAATGGGCTGGTGCTGTAAACACAACAACAGAAATTAATTGGCATGAAGATAAAGATCCAGCCATTATTGGGGAATGCCGCTGCAATTTTGTCATCTCATAAAAAACAATTGGCGGATTATATTGCACCGTTATCATCAATTATTGAGATGATTCCAGTAATATCCCAGCAAATAACCTACCATGAAGTTTTGCTCGTGAGGTGCATGAAATCATTTGTAACCGACATCCCCTTTCTGGTGTATAACGGGTCTTCCATTTAGCGTTTTCTATCTTTAAATTAAAATAAAATGAAGTGTGATTTCAAAAACTACACGATTTGATCTTCACAAATCGTGAGGTGTAGTTTTTGAAATTACTATGGATCTTCATCAAGTAACGGCCGAATCAATCAGAAAAATAAAGTGTGTGTGTGTGATATCATCGAATTTTTTTTTATTCGTTTGAGGAACCTATTGACGCCACGGCTTTTCTGGGTGGAGCGCATCTGAATTTCCGTTCAATTTTCCAGACGACTCTGGCTCATAAATCAGGCGCAGCAGAGGTCTTGTCAGCCACGCGAAAACGACTGCCTCGGATTCGTACTTTGCCCTAACACAACACCCATTCTGATAAAACAATTTTATTATATGCCCGTTTTCTTGAATGCTATATCCGTCCATGATGATTTGGCAAAACATAGGTACTGAATAAATGACAAATTATTTGACATACGTCAAGATGGCCGTTATCAATTGTCAAAGTTCGGAAGTCCCTGTTGGAAGACCCGGCATATGCGATATCAGTTTATATATCTACCTTACGTCTTACGATGTAAGTCTTATGAATACGATGTAGTTCTTCTTGATCAATAAAATTATCAGATATTCGGATAACAAGCCTCCTACGTGAAATGATATCTTTCTCTAACTTCAAGTTCATAGTGGCTAGCCTTATGATGGCAGAATTTATTAGCCGGATCAATGCAGAAGACACTCTGTTACTCGTGGTTCTTTCTGTAAGTCTATTTAGGCTACGCGATTTATGGTTCCGATGATCACCTCACTGCCGGTAGATGATGATAACGATAAAAGGAATAGTTCAAGTTTATTAGATAACATTTCTTCTTAGATAACATATACATATTACAGTGAATAAACTATAAAAATATATAAAAAACCTCAAGTAGTAAACTTGTGATAAAGTGTAAACATAATTCATTTCATCCGGTTTTCTATTCGTCTGGAATATTTATTGAAGTTGGGATTTTTCTTTACCACACTGTGGAAGTGTACTATTTCTGTGACCAAAGACACAATACTTATGAAATATCCAATCAGAAGAGCCACAAGAGCTCCAGAGAATTTCTTCATATTCATTAGAGCCTTCAAAGTTTCTGCGTCGTCTGTTTGAATTTCTGAATTTAGTACTTTCTGCATTACATCATCTATCCATTTTTTGACGAAGCCTGCTTCTAAAACCCTTCTTATATATTTATCCACCGCTGGTTTGATAGGAGAATTTTTTTGCAACCCTTGAAAAAATTGATATTCATTTTATTGGTCATAAAATCACATTACCTCATCTAGAAAGAAATATTTATTATTTCTTAGAAAAGTCGAGATCTTTTACATTTTGTTTAGTATATCGATATTCATGTCAAACATAAGAAAACTCNATATATATATTTAGTATGGAATGTGTAGAATTAGTTGAAAGACACGCCAGATGAAGCCATTGTATGGCGAAACACGTGTTGCGTTTTTGTAAAACAATTTAGTGAAAATCTCACAATAAAGTGTTTTTGGAATACGTTAGTTATGGATTTTCATCAAGTATCGGCCGATTCCATCATATACAATATTTATTTTTGAAAAATATCATTAATAACAAACAAAATAACAAATCTACAACAAATGACAAATGTTAAAATATGTCCAGTAGTAACCAAGACATTCTCCAACAAATAGGTATTTAGATGAAGGGGATTGAAAAAACATTGTTTTTTAAAGGAACGTGTGATTCCGTGTTAGGAATCACACGTTAAAAGGTAAGTCCTCGTTAGTCCTTAGCTCGCACAAGTTTCTCAACTTCTGAGAGTTGTCGTTCGTATGGGGGCGGCAGCTGATTAACGGAAAAACAGATTTTTTTTTCAAATTATACCGTCAACAGACACACTGCATTCCTCAATAGAACCTACTTGGCTTTTCCACAGGAATAAAATATTACAATATTTCCTGTTGGGAGTTTGAAGGCCATGATAGAGCGGTTAGTCTTAGTCTTAGTCTTAGTGATATTCTTCAGTTTACTTCGAGAGCGCGTTGAATAAAAAGCCATACAACATGGAAGCTAGTTGTTCGGAATCCGTGAAGTGTCCGACACTGTCAGCATGAAATATAAATAAAAAACGTTTGTTATGAATGTTTATGCTTATACAATTTCCGCCTGAAGTAAAAAATAAGGAGGAAGTAGTGTAAAAATGCGCGAGTGTGACCGGTGCCAATACATCAACAATATTTAGAATTTTTAAGAAACTTAAGGAAACAACAGCTTTTTGGAGCCGAAAGTATCCAATGGCAAAAAGTGTTTGAATATCGACGAAGAAGTCAAGAATTCTATTAGGAGAAGAGTACACTCTTTTCACATAAAAAACGAAATACCTACATCAAATAAAGTTTCGTCAGTTATTCGTGAAGACAGTTTTTTCCTGATATAAGAAGAACTAGATTATGGAAGATATTACATGAGCATGAGGGTCATACCGTCTCGAAGGTTTGACAAGATCAGAACATCAAAAGTGGAAGACTTTATGGAAGGGTGGTCCACTGCTTTGAAAATTCCAGTTGGAAGAGATCGTCGTCTTATCATCTCTCACATAGGCAGCAGTGAAGTATTCGTGAAAGATGGATTGAATCCAATAGAGTTGGTTTGGGCTCAAGTTGAAGGATTAATGTAACCTCCAAGCTGTGTGAAGTTGAAGAAATACCTATACAGTGCTCTGGAAACAGTCGACCAAAAAGCTTGGGAAAAATGTATCCACAAAACAATCAGAATCGAAGCAGAGATGTGGGATCTGGATGATTGCATAGACTCATTATCAGAAAAAATTATTCCAGTTGTCCTAATGAAACTGATTCATCCAGTAAAGAATCACTCAACGAATCCCTGCAGACTTTTTTCAGATTAAAATTATCGCAATGTCTTATTCGAAGTGAGTATTCCAATTAAATCTATAAAATTGTTTCTGAATCAACTATAAAATCCAATGAGGAATATTAATCTTCATTTCCAAACCAACAAAAATATATCTCTCAGTGCAGCCACACTTTTCTACTTCCTGAAAATGTCAAAGTCGAAGCCGAAACGTGGAACAATGCAAAATTTTGAACGCGGTTCAACTCAAATCAGATGTTCAAATTTTCAACTGCGGAAATCTTTTCTATTTGTATACTTATCTGGTGACGTTTCGAATACTTTATCCATCTTCATTATCATACCAAAATTATCTTAGAATAAATTTCATTTCTGTGTTTTTATGACAGGTAATTTACTCAAAATTGTTAAACAACTCCATATTTTCAGAAAGAGCTCTTCGCGGGGAAATCAAATGTAAAATAAAATTTAGATACGTTTGAAAATATCTGAAAATAATTGTTGAGTTTTGATTCACCCCCTGTATTGGAAACATGTTTTTGGTCAAATTATTACTTGATGATGAAAAAACCACGAATCCAACGTGAATCGCTACTTTCGCATCGGCACCGCTCTCAGAGCGCCTTATGGATATTCCTGTAGTGCCTGTGTTTTGTCCTTAGAAAAAATGAGAGCTAACAATAATTGCCACAATGGTATCTACAGATGATATTGCTTTTCTAATGAAATGTTGCAAGGAAAACAACAGATAGGACAAAGGGCTTACAATCCAAAACTATGGAATCAAATGAATAAAGAAGTTAACATAGTTCACAGCGATGAATCTGAAGAAATGGCACCTCCAGTATTATTCGCAAATTAAACGACTTATAAATGGAGTTCTGACACCAACGCCAATTTCTCACATCAGTGGGAATAAACAGGTCTTTGAAAACCTCCATTCTCATAGAGAATTCATTTGACCAAGAAGATTGAAGCAAGCACATTGGTCGCGTTAAGCTGAACGCTCTTTTGCCTCACACTTCACAAGGTATTACAATCCTTCTTGTATTTTTATAACAGACCGCTTTGTCTTCTCAGGTGGAAAGTTGGAATACTCATCTGAATCTATGATTTGAAGGAGAAAAATGCAAGTTGGGTGTTGCCAAATCCACTCGTCAAAAACCTACCTATAGATATTGGCATGTTGATGATACAGTCCTTCATTATGTGCAATGTCCTCTCCTCTGATTGATTTTGAATGTCATCAAGTGAAACTTCAGACAATTGAAGACGTAACTTTTGCTGTCTTTTTACCAGAGCACTTTTCAAAAAATAGGTATTTTCATAAAATGCGAAGGACGCTCTTGCTACTCTACTGACAGCTTCTTCTGAATCATTCACTAAGACGAAGTTCTTGGTAAGGGCATTCAAATCAGAATCATTCAGCGATCTGAAAAATTCTCCGTTCATTTCACCCCAACCACCACATGTCAATTTGCTCTTAGCTAGTTCTTGAAGTGTGTCTATTTTCACCCTGTAAAATGAATAGAAGATATGAAACTTTATGAATTTAGATACTTTCATGACAATAGGCCTTTTTTCAAAAACACTATTCAGAAACGACTTATTACCCTCAAAGTGAATGAATGTCTACGATTTAGATCTAATTTCCTCTACTTTCAATTTTTACTTTTACTACGGTTACTTTTTATCCTACTCCAAAAATTTAAAGTACATCACCCAGCTGAGAACCACAGTTGAGTAGTCTGTTTCAAACATTCAAACACTAAAATAACTCATCCATATGAATAAGTCAAATATCTATTGAGATATTAGACAAAATCTGATTCGTTAATGTTTGTGAAGTCATAACTTCTAACTTCACAAGTTGAGCGACAACATGATTTGGTATACTCAGAAAATCACACCGAATACGATACACTTGTTGGTATAATGTCTTCCTGTCCAAAAGTATTATTGCTAAGTTTTGTCTCCTGACGTAACGTACACTTTTGGTAGAATATACTATATTTCCATTGTATCCGCCTTAATGTATAGGATCATAATATGTATGTTCTGAAACTATGAGAGGTGTTTTGTTCAGCTGACTAAAGTGGGACTCCGTCAAGTTCTGGAGAATAATTCTAGCGAAGAATAATTTTCTCCAAAGTTTCAGACTATGGTACATTTTTTTTAGAGCGAACCCCCTAGGCGTGCTCCCATTCTTAATTCGATCCTACAGAGAAGACAGTTAAGGTCATTTGATCAACCTCTATCTCCCCTGTAAACTCAGCTCGAAAGCTGAACAATTGGGAAGCCCTTTACTCTTGATCTTCTGTCACAGGGAGGATAGTTGGGGCCATTTAGTTGATGTCCACCTCTTCTATAGACTCGGGTTATTTGTAGGACCTGCTCAACGGGAGATTGTTCCCTCTCGTGATGCAGATTCTACTTTCGCTGCTCAGGAATTTGGTACACGGCATATTCGTAAAATATCCGGTTTTTGATGAGGCTATAAATCGCTCCCAGGTCGCATCCTAGGTTTGTTCAAGAAATGGAGAACTGAGAAGCTCCCGCTCTTGTTTAGATGTTACAGGTAGAAGAGTTAGGGTCGTTTTTCCAACCCCCATTTCCTCTGCAAACTAATCCCAGAAGCTGGAAAATTGAGAACTTCTTTTTTACTGATCCACCATCACATGGAGGACAGTTCGAGTCGTTTAGTCGAATTCTATCTCCTCGGTTGCCTCAGATTATTCGCAGAACACTATTGGGAGGTGATGGGGATTCTGCTTCTGTTGCTCAAGAATTGGGTGCAAGGCAGATTCATAAAATATCCTGCTTTTGAAGACGCAATGAGTCACTTTCTGGATGCTCCATCACCTGAAGATTCGTGGAATGCTAGCAATCACTGATTGAATGGAATATTACAGGAGGAAAATAATTTGAAAAAACAGAAAAAGTGAAATATCAAGTATACTATCACAAATAATGAAAAACTGCTAAAATCGATTGAGATTTGTTGAAGAAGGATGACGCTTATTTTTATCAACCAATTTGAAATCATTTATTTATTTATATGTACATTTCGGCCTTACTAAACTATAATACAAAATTTTAAGAGAATGTATATTGGTAAAATTAAATGATTGTCTAATTAAATAATCTAGCAATCGGTTTGTGGACTTAGCTATATTTTAAATATGCGTAGAAAAGGACATTTGATGGTCATTAGTAATTCCCAAATCCTTTACCTCAGAACACCGATTTAGGGCCTCTTCATTATTTCTGTACTCGAACATAACAGGTTCTTTTAATTGCGTTATAGACAGAATACTACATATTTTAAAATTGAAATACAGTTTATTTTTCATGCTTCATTCAAAAATGCTATTTGAATCTTTCTGCAATAATACACAGTGTCTAACAGTTTGTATTCTCTTATAAAATTTAAAATCATCAGCGAACAAAGCCACTTTAGTATAATTCAATACTGATGGTAGATCATTAATGAAGAGAACGAATTGAAGGGGCCCCAAATTAGAGCACTGGGAAACTCCGGAGTTGGCCTCAAATTTACCCGATGTATTGCCATTATATTTGCAAATAAATTCTTATTAGTTTAAGAAGATTATATGACAGCCCAAACTCAATTCTCAATTCACACAAGAGTACATCATGATCAACTGTGTGCATTAAAAATTTTACCAATTCACATATTTAAATAGAAGCATGCTTAAATACTTACTTCGGTGCTGGTCTTGCTAATATCGCAGTCATGCTCGCTCTGTATGATGTAACCACTAATAAGCAGTATAACCAATGCCATCCTGTTAACATTCTTAGAGACCATCCAAATGGTAATTTTGGAATAGAAACGAGTAGTAACATACTGTAAGTATACAATGCACTGTTTACTGGCTCACTGAATTGATATAAACCTACAGGACCTCCTTCTGCTTTTGGTTTTTGGTATTTTTCTCTCATCTGTGTGAATTTTATATTTGGATCCAGTTTTTCTAGCTCAGGATATAAAGAAAGTGTCAGAACCTTCTTTTTTTTGAGTACTTTGTTGTTGTTAACTCCGGGATACGTGGAACGATCTAATTTATTTTTTATGCTTGTTATATGAATCTGGAATCTAGCCAAATAGTGGAAAGATAAAATGCAAAATAGGAGAGACATGATTACACTAGTCCACATGACTGGTCTGAAAGAAAACGAAATGGGTCACATATGCATTGATTCAGAAATTGTGTGAGATTATTTTTCAGAATGCATAAAAATGAAAAATTTCAAGGCTATGCAGCTTTTACAGCCTTAAAATACACAGAATATTAAACAGGAAATTAAAATATGGTGCTCATGATAAGGTCTGTCAACATCAATATTGTTAGCAGTTCTGGAACTTTATGATTTTGGAATATTTCACACAAATCCTGATATTTCGATTTGGAAGTTTATGTCGATACCTACGGTCATAGATACGCTGTCTGTTCAAAAAATAGGGTGATTTAATTTTTCTCAAAAAATATGTATTTATTCATGAATTTATATTTTGCTTCCTTCAAAGTAGGCCCCCCTCAGATATAATACACTTGTGCAAACATTCTTTCCAATTTTCGAAGCAGTTCTGATAGACACTTTTTGGTATGTCCTTGAACTCTCTCAGCGATTCGGTTTTTATGGTGCATTATCGTAATACACGAGTCATGAATTATTCTTTCTCGAAAATAGGACGAAGAAAATAACTTTTGTCTGATTTCTACTGACTCTTAATTTGTTATAACCAGTTTCGGTTTGTTGAGCCATTTTCAAGTAAACCGATGCCTTTTGACAAAACAAGTTCTTGAATATATACAGTCAGGTATAGTCGAAGTAATCTTTATTGTGAATACTTAAAGCTATCGGGGCCCTCGAAGGCCAAAAAAAAACGATACAAATAGTCTGGTTCACATGTACTCGATTTAGCTCTTTTTGGTGACATTTTTCAGCCCTGTCCAAAAATTACGACCAAGGTGTCATTCGATTCGTATTTTTGCCTAGAAAGTTTAAGGAAAGGTCCGAAAACGCGCCGATAAAAATTACAAAAGTTTAAAATTTGAAAAAAGATTTGAAAAGATCAATGAATTTGCGTAAAAAAAGTCTAGACTCCCGAAACTGTATCTCGATTATTTATAATTTTTACAAAGCCCTGAAAATAGAGCCAAAAGCGGGTAGTCTGGCTTCCGCGCGCCTTTCGTCACTCTGACATAAAAACAAAAAA